TAAAGCATTTCATTCTGGCAAGGCACCGCGTAAACAAAAGCTGCGTAAATGCAGACTCCACTGTATTTAAAAAGAACAAAGCCCTATATGACACGGGTGTGAATAGAGCTGTGTTACTTTTATCCTCTTCACCACTGATCAGCTCATTAGTCGCTTGGGCGATCGGTCACATCTCTGTTATGCACTGTTGGCAAGTGTTCTTCTGCACTGTATACAGTCAACCCTCACTTAACGCGGTTAATGTAACCCACTGGGTACCGCGGAAAGTGAGAAACGCGTAAAGTGAATAACATAACATATGGGATTAAATGAAATAGAGACCAGCTGACCCCCAAACTCCACTTTTTCCAACACAATACCTATGTTCTAGTAAAAATAACATCTTAATTTTATGATGGTACAGGCACACAATTAATAATTAAGAGAAATAGAGAAATACAGTCGCCAAGTTAATGTCCATTCAAATAATGGACTCAACTCCCTCCCCCACTTCTCACACTACACTCGCTGGCTCTTCCCTCTCTGAGAAATTTTGGGGGGAAAACCAGGTATAGTAATAAATAATACCTCAAACTAAAGTTAGGATAATATAATTGACATTGGTGGATTCCTTGTAAGACCAGGAATATTTTGAATACAAATGTCATATATTTTGCACAAAAGATAACATATTTACTCAGAGTAAACATTTTATCTAAAATTTGTATGTCTAATGCAAAATCTATGATGTTTATATTCAAAATGATCATCAAATTGTAAGAATTCCAGCAATGTAAATTATATTCTGGCCGGGTAATTTGTATGAATTTTATGAGCTAAAACAAATATCTTCAGTTAATAAAAAAAAAAATATTCTTCACTACACTATCTGTCAATCAAAGTACCCCACCTTGCCTCCCCCCTCTTCCAAGCGCCAGATGGTCGGTCCGTCCCAACCCTCCCCCCCCCCACCCCCCACCAATCCTCCCTTCAAGAGAAAGGTTGGGTGAAAAAACTAGATTTTAACATTTAGTATTAAATAATACCTCAGATTAAAGTTAGGATAATATAATTGACATTGCTGGATTCCTTGTAAAACCAGGAATATTTTGAATATAAATGTCATATATTTTGCACAAAAGATAACATATTTACTCAGAGTAAACATTATATCTAAAATTTGTATGTCTAATGCAAAATATATGATGTTTATATTCAAAATGATCATCAAATTGTAAGAATTTCAGCAATGTAAATTATATTCTGGCCGGGTAATTTTTATGAATTTTATGAGCTAAAACAAATATCTTCAGTTAATAAAAAAAAAATATATATTCTTCACTACACTATCTGTCAATCAAAGTACCCCACCTTGCCTCCCCCCTCTTCCAAGCGGCAGATGGTCGGTCCGTCCCAACCCTCCCCCCCCACCCCCCACCAATCCTCCCTTCAAGACAAAGGTTGGGTGAAAAAACTAGATTTTAACATTTAGTATTAAATAATACCTCAGATTAAAGTTAGGATAATATAATTGACATTGCTGGATTCCTTGTAAAACCAGGAATATTTTGAATATAAATGTCATATATTTTGCACAAAAGATAACATATTTACTGAGAGTAAACATTATATCTAAAATTTGTATGTCTAATGCAAAATATATGATGTTTATATTCAAAATGATCATCAAATTGTAAGAATTTCAGCAATGTAAATTATATTCTGGCCGGGTAATTTTTATGAATTTTATGAGCTAAAACAAATATCTTCAGTTAATAAAAAAAAAAAAAAATATTCTTCACACCATGGTGCCAGGTGGTTGGTCGCCGGTCCCTCCCTCCCTCCCACCCCCCACCAAGCCTCCCTAACAGATGAATGTGTGGGAATACCAGACTGTTTACCTTTTTAGTAATAAATAATAAATCAAACTAAAGTTAGGATAATATAATTGACATTGCTGGATTCCTTGTAAGACCAGGAATATTTTGAATATAAATGTCATATATTTTGCACAAAAGATAACATATTTACTCAGAGTAAACATTATATCTAAAATTTGTATGTCTAATGCAAAATATATGATGTTTATATTCAAAATGATCATCATATTGTAAGAATTCCAGCAATGTAAATTACATTCTGGCCGGATAATTTGTATGAATTTTATGAGCTAAATAAAAAAATTATACTTCACCCGTGTAAAGGGGTACACCCACCGCGGAATGTGAGCATCCTGGGTTCTGGTAGGGCACCGTGTAAACATGGAAACGCGGAATGTGGGACCGCGTAAAGTGAGGGTTGACTGTATATTGTAATAAAGCTGATTCTGTAATTTTTAGCCTCAAATAGGCAGACCATTCCCTCAGCTGACTGTAGTACATAACTAATCTTGTCTTAACACTTGTGATGAAGGTTGGGTGGGAGATTTTTGGGTTACGTTACTAACCTGATTTGATGCAATGTCAGGTCACCCATTGTTAGGTGGGGGATGAGTGGGTTTTATGACCTGAAGATGTCTTGAATGGCATTTTTTACCTTTGAGGTATATACCGAACAGGTATTAATTATCACAGATTATTACAGTAACGTATCTTTACAAGTTAATGAAAAACAAATAAACAATATTGTATCATGAATGAAGCAGTACAAAAGACAAACAGTGAGGCAGGTCGCACAGTCACTTGTACCCCCAATGCACCCTTCTCCCTCCTGCTTAGTTCACAACAAATGTTATGATCCTTACTGTATTTCTGTTAGAGCAGGGGTTCTCAACCAGGGGGGAATTTCCCCCCCCTCAGGTTTTTCAGGGGGGGAAAACTGATACTAATATGGAAAAAATAAAGGATTTTCAGTATTATATGCATATTATTTGGAATGCACTTTTTGAGGCAGACAATCTTGGAAAGGAGGGGGGAATGACATTCTGACATATGGTGAAAGGGGTGCATGGGGCAAACAAGGTTGAGAACCACTGTGTTAGAGAGATGAATTTTATGCCATAATGATCCTCTCTGAGACATTTCCAATGTCATATCCTTAAATAACAAGCTGAATTAAAAGGTAAAAACAAGTATTTTACTGTGTGTGAAGGGTACTGGTAGAAGAATTTATATGAAATACTCAGTAACATAAAATACCATAATATCCTGACCAGTTTTCCTTGTGAAAAAGCCATAGTTTTGAGCAGCATATTACTGTACTCAATGCTCAATGCTAAAGGACTAACAATTTTATCTCTTGTGCAACTTTGAGATGCTTATACTCAAATTAATCATTATCTTACAAGAATTCCAGTAATGTAAATTATATTCTCTTAAGTCAAGTCTGTGACATTTTATAAGAGAAAACTTTTAGCCTAAAACAAAATTCATCCCATTAATCATTATCAATCCGTCTGCTCCCCCAACTCTGGCTGGGAGGAGGGGGGAGGTGGGGTGTCAACAGCCAGGAGGGGAGATTAACGTTTACTCAAGGATTATAAAAAGCAGGGGGTTTAATTTTTTTGCTTATAAAATGCCACTGACTTGAGTTAAGAGAATATAACTTGCATTGCTGGAATTCTTGTAAGATAACGATTAATTTGAGTATAAACATCCCTTATTTTGCACCATACATAATTTTAGTAATTAACTTGCTACATTTTAGTACAGGTTGTGATAATTTATGAGGTTGCTCGGAAGTTGTGGTTGCATTTTCGAAGGTTCTTGACATAACTACTAATGTATAATGCGTCTCCATATTCATTGATCAGTTGTCTAAGTGCAAATGTAGCACACACACACACACACACACATGGGAATTAAGACAACAAGCATCCAGGGAGGGTCTTGTTGTGTGGCTGCATGGAGGCGAATGAAAAGATCAGCTGTTGAGGAGCTTATTGCTTGGCAACACTGGTGCATGTTACCACTCCTTTCCACTCCATCTCTCTAATCACCTACACCTTTCTGCTTTCTCACTCAGGTAGTAGGTAGTAGGCAGCTACCAAACAGGGAGGTACTACTGCCTGGGAAGATATTGGAAGCATAATGTGTTGTCTAATGGTAGACCCTGCTGCCATATGGCATCATGAAAATTGTGACCAAGTCCCAGGTTGCTGATCTGACTTTCTGCTTCATTTACACACAATTGCAGGGTCTCAATTGTTTCTCTTACCATTGACAACACAACATACATATATCGTTTCTCACTTTTGATGTTTTTTTCGTTTTTGTATTTATAGTTCTTTATTATTAACATTATCATTATTATTACAGTTACTGTATTATTATCATCATTATTTTATTATTTTATTTTTGTTTGTTTTATCATAAATTTGATTTATTATGAATTATTATGACTATTATTATTATTATTATTATTATTATTATTATTATTATTATTATTATTATTATTATTATTATTATTATTACATTTTCGCCCCCCAGGCCCCGATGTGGGCCAGTGACCTGTATCCGGGTGGGCTAATCCCCGTTAAAAAAAAAATAATAATAAAAAAATAAATAAAAAAATAAAATAAAATAAAATGTTATGTAATGTAATGTTGAAGGGATACAAGTTTGCTCTTTTAAACTTATACTTATCACAATCTCCCTAAAAATACTTTAGATTTTGTGTTTATTCAAGACATCTTCAGGTCATGAGACCCACTAATCCCCCACCAAAGAAAGGGTGACCTGACATTCCATCAGAAGGTCAGTAAAATGAGATCACTAATCCCCCACCCTAAGTCCACCTGACATTGAGTCAGGTCAGGTCAGGTCAGATCCTCCCCACACCCCCCAAAAAATACTTTAACTTTCATCTTTATTCAAGACATTTTCAGAAAATTCACTCGATTTTCAACCTCGGAAAATTTTTTCCTAAAGCCGGAAATTTTTGGAAAATTCCTGCTTTGGGAATGATATTTCGAGCAAATTTCAATTCCAGCTATCGGAGATTTCCGGGTTTGAGGGATTCCAGCTAACAGAGATGTTACTATTCTCTTTTTCCCAGATACATGTTAATTTGTCTTTTCTCAGGTTGTGGCTCAGATCTACAAATTGTGTGATAACCCGATGTTTCATGGACGAGGACAAGCAGGGCATTTACAGTATCTCCGAGACGTTGAGGTCGTGAGCGATCATCGTCACACATCACTCAACTGCATTCGCTGGCTTCCTTATCCTGGTCAAGGACTTATTTATGGTACTAACAAGGGGCAGCTAAATATCTTGCGCTGACTGTCATAAGTCTATAGTGGAGACCACTTGCAAGGGAGGACATGAAACAAATAGACCCTAAAATTTTAAGTACTTTACAATAAATCTTCTATGATAATACAAGATATTTAAAGAGCACAATTGAGTATTATGAAGAAATTCATTCAGTGCCATATGTGACTGGGGACCATTTCTCATGTAGGGAGTACAGGAATGTGTACTGTGCAAGAGACATAACTGACTGTTGTAGTGTTTCTTGTGTACTGAAAACAGGACTGGGTTGGCTGTTGTAGGTGCAGCACAAGTGAGTTAAATGCAGAACATTCCTGTTGTGGCCACTGTTTTTAAACTGGGATTTACAGGCTACTTTTATCAAAAGCTTATATGTTGGGTTGAATGAACTGGTATTATTTCAAAAAAGGTTTCATTGAAATTTTAAATTTCTATGCTTGTAAATTACATAACAAAAAGAATGGTTGTTTACAGGCGGTAGGTTTTTTTTTCTCTGTATATGTTTTGTTTGAATTAAACACGCAGAATGACAATTGTTCATGAGACAAGCATGTACAGGTTGACAACCCTTTATCCGAAATTCCAAAAACCATAGATCACTGACCCACATCGGGGCCTGGGGGGCGAAAATGTAATAGTAATACTAATTATAATAATAATATAATTATA